TATTTTGGAAGATGAAGCTTGCGATTATGGTAAGGAGCGTTACATTTCCGACGAGTGCTTGCGGTGTTCGGCCAATCACAATGCACTGGGTCAGCTGGCCAATCAGAGCAGACTGCGCTTGTCGGAAGGAGGGACTTGTTTGAGAGAGGCGGGGCATAGAGGATTTTTTAAAAAGCATCATATGACCCCTTTAACTTGATGTTTATTTGTCGGTAAATCAGTCAACTTCACATTGTTCCTCTCATAGACATACACTGACGGAGCATTGAGCGCTTTTGCCCATTGCTGCGATATGACAACGGCTACGAACCGAAAAATTATCTGGTGTTAAATATTTGTGAGTTGCAAAAGTATGTCAATCTTTGCTTTCAGAATCTGGTGTCACTCCCTTTTGCGGCAATAACTGCAAGTAACGTTTCTTGTAACTGCTGATCAGTACTGCACAACGGCTTGTAGGAATTTTAGCCCATTCCTCTTAAGGTTATTTATTGCTTTAATCACATTCTTTGGAATAACGCACCAAGTCATTCACATTAACACCACAAACATGTATTAAAAAAAATATATATTACATATTGCACATATTAATCTATGTAACATGTGTAATTAAATTGCAAGTACCAGATAACTGTCACGGGTGCACACACACGAGGGACGAGGAGACGCTGGAGAATACTTTACACAAGACTTTATTCGTAGGAAGGAACCAAGGGAGACGAACACAGGAAACACTAATGAACAACATGCATTTTGTAAATAAATTCTGGGAACAATACAGAAGGTAATGCTATTTTAATGTAAAGTATATTGATGCGTGATGTGTATTAAGTACTAAAAGGCTCAAGATTGTGTACCCAAAAAACTTGTTAAACCATTTTCATTACTACTTCAATACTGCGATTTAAGTCTTAAATGAACCAGTAATACAATTTCCACACTTTAGCAGAGATAGAAGACACACACTATCACCTTATTCAAATACAGCCCCAACGCCCTGTTTCTTCTCTCTTACTTTCACCTTCTCTCTCTTTTTTCTCCCTTTCTCTCTCTTTTCATCAGCAATTTGTCCTTTTATATATTTCTGTTCTGCTTTTTTTTCCTGCGAAAGTTGACTATATGTCAGATGTTTTGGCTCCGGGCACTCGTTTGTTTAAAAGGATGACCAGAGTTTGTGAGTGCATGTAAACTCAAGGGCACGTTGCATTATTTAGCTGCATTTGTTGCGGACTGGACAAGACTGACAGAAAGAAGGCAAGTGATGGCTCTGTCAGCGAGCACAAATTGAAACATTGTGCGGAGGTCACCCCAGGCTTGACAAGATAGATGTTTGTTACCATTGGAAAGGAAGCAGACAAAAAAAGAGCTTCGTTTCAAGCTTATTCATGCAATTCAACCTCTTCTTGCGCCCTTCTCAAAAAGGAGCAGGACTGAACACCCCTGACCTAGATAAGTATTTCCCAACCCTGTTCCTGCAGAGACACACCAACAGTAGTGGAGCACAACCTAACACTTTTTGACGTTCTCAGTTTGTGTAAATCCACATGGGGTTCAGAGTATAATTTTTTTTATCCTCATTAATTTCACACTTGTCTAGTACAAATATGTCACTTTGTTTCATAATTACAGTGTATACATTTTTCTTTATCTACCTCAAAAGAATGGAAGTGAAATGTGACAACATTCCCCGTAGGTAGGGTACATTGTAACATCTGAGGAGCATGTTGTAACATTAGCATATGACAGCTTAAGATAGATGTTACCATTGGAAAGGAAGCAGACAAAAAAAGAGCTTCGTTTCAAGCTTATTCATGCAATTCAACCTCTTCTTGCGCCCTTCTCCGTTTTGCTGGAATATGCTACAAAGTAACGCAAGTAGTGGTGTGGGGGGTGGGGGACTGAGATATTATGTTTGTGTGAGAATTTATAACTTTTAAAACAAACAGAGAAATACTCTTTTCTCATAGTTTTATGATACTAAAGGCTGTGACACAACAAGCCAAAGAACTAGCATTAACAAAAGCCAACTATCCTGCAGAGTTTAGCTCCATTTCTATATAAACACAACTGAATCTGCTAATGTCTTCAGGATTACTAGAAACTCTCAAGGAAGTGTGTTGGGACATGTTGGAGAAAAACTCAAAAAGGAGCAGGACTGAACACCCCTGACCTAGATAAGTATTTCCCAACCCTGTTCCTGCAGAGACACACCAACAGTAGTGGAGCACAACCTAACACTTTTTGACGTTCTCAGTTTGTGTAAATCCACATGGGGTTCAGAGTATAATTTTTTTTATCCTCATTAATTTCACACTTGTCTAGTACAAATATGTCACTTTGTTTCATAATTACAGTGTATACATTTTTCTTTATCTACCTCAAAAGAATGGAAGTGAAATGTGACAACATTCCCCGTAGGTAGGGTACATTGTAACATCTGAGGAGCATGTTGTAACATTAGCATATGACAGCTTAAAATGTTATCTGATCTAATGAAAAAAAAAGAATATACAAGTCATATACAATATAACATATTTAGTCAATAAAATAAAAATGATTAACCTTTTCAAATAAAATAATGGTGTTTTTTTTAAGAATTAAAAATAATCAAATTTTGGAGTTTGACAACGAACACATTGCAACCATGCTTGAGATGGCCCTGATCGCAAGACACAGCTATACAGTATAGCCTAGTTCAAAACAATGTGGGCAAATATATAAAGAAACACATTCAGACATTCAGAACAACACTCCCCTCCCTCCACACACTGCGCTCATAGAAAACTAACCAAATGCTTTACATTTCTTGAAATAATAATTTCTGAACATTAAGCATTGATGGACAGTCTTTATTCACCTGTTTCTTGTGGTTTCTAATTAAAACTCATAAAAGTAAATAGTGTAAATTATATCACTAATGTCATATAATAGCATAGTTTAATAATAGCGGGGCACATTGTAACGCAGCGTTACAATGTTCCCCATCTGCGCAACTGGAATTTAAAACATGTTAGTGTCTCCTGCTAGTTAGCGAAGCATTAAATAAAAAAAATAAAAAAATAAATAAAATCTAAACTGATAGCTACATAACAGATTAGAGATTAAAATAATAGCATATTTGTCTTATTTTAAATGAATACTAAAAAATTGAGTTGAAAAATGTACTTCAGCCAGAAATGCACTTTTATTCAGCGATATTTTCAAAAGGTTTTTGAATTTGGCACACTTTTTTCTCTATATAGTGTTAATATGGCAACTAGTAAATGCCGTCAATTTGGTTATGCTAGCATGTGTGGAAATATTTAAACCATGTGTGTTTATGCGGGGGCTCATCCAGGTTTCTACAATTACATGGATCCCAATGGAAATGCTGATTAAAAAAAGTATTTCAGCACAAATAGTGTTGGTGCTGAGCACACACACATACATACTGATCTGAACATGTCATTTCTCTTCCTGTCTCTTTTGTGAGCTTGTCAGTCTTCTTTAGGAAAATGAGGAAAAAAGGGGTTTCCACCCACAATGTCCAAACAGCTCAGCTGTCAGTTTAGCTGTCAATCAGACCGGCATTAATGATGAGCTGTACTGACCACTATGTGAGGGACCAGCCGAGCGTAGAGGAAAAGAGAGGAACGCTATCCAATTCACAAAGAATGAAACCGAGCCTTTTTCCTCACGTTTGATTCCTCTAATCTCCTTTCTTTACTTTCTTCATTCTATTCTTCCTGCTTTTATTTCCTTTGACCAAAAGACTACAACAAAAAAAAATAAGAACCATATCCTTGTTTCCTAGAATAGAAACAGCCAATGGTGTCTAGTAGGTGTCTAAAAAATAAATCTCACCATTGAGAGCTTTTATTTTAATCATCTCCTGTCTCGCTTTCTCCAGCTCACCTTCAGCAGGTGCTTTGTTTAGGTAATGTGACGGATGTTGTTGACAGCTTGTCCCTAAGGTGGGCCTTGCTGAAGGAGACAAAGCACACTATCTATCCTCTGCATTGTTTGCGTATGTGTGTCTGGTGGAGAGTAGGATTCTGTAAAGTATAGACTGTATTCTTCTAAAAAAAAGACCCTTCTGAGGCATCTTTTTGGATTGATTATCATAAAAAACTGTATAGTTGGGATCCTTGCAAGCAGATATTCCAGAGAGAATTTAGTCATTCAGAAATATAGACTTTTTATCTAAAATTCAAAGTGATGTGCTGCAGATGTTACACTGCCCACAACTCAAAAAAAAAAAAAATACACCATATCCACAGTGAAGTATTGTGGTGGCAGCACCATGCTGTGGGGCTGGTTTTCACCTGGAGAGACTAGGCATCTCGTTAAATCACAAAGCAAGAATGGATGGTGTGAAATAAAGAGAAATACTGCAAGAGGACCTGTTGCACTTTCCTGCAACAATTCTCTCAGATTTCAGGGAAAATTAATTTGAAGTTGCATCAAAAACCGAATGCACTATTTCAAAATAATAACATACTGTAAAAACAAAAACTGCAGTTGGTTGT